AAGCCAAAACAAATGGCCAATCATACCAAACATGTGATTTTAACAGATGCAATGGGATTAGTATTCTACTGTAGTAGCACTATGTCTTCTTTGCAATACAGAGGGGAAAGGAAAGAGGGAAAGTATAGGGTTATTTCTGTTCTGCTAAATCATATTGGGAGGAACTGTCAAAAAAATCCTTCCATGTTCCTAGCCAAATCTAATTCCATTGAGGAGAAATGCTGCTATACTTCTGCTTGAATTGCAAATTTCTACTGTCACACAAAAGTGACAGACAATACAAGATCTCAACAATAAATTGCATGCTCCCTGCCTGCTGTTGGGTACGTAAAATAAGGGCATATTACTGCCATAAAGATATCCCAGGGCTTTATGAATACAGCCTTCTCTGACACGTGAGTTAGAGAAGGGAAATATGTTGAATTTTAGGACCGCTTGGCAATTGAAAACAAACTCATTTCAGTTCAGAATCCTAGTCTGGAATAAAATAACAATTTTGTATTTATCTATGGAAAGTCATGATAGTAAGCGAAATCAACATATTCTGAGCACATGATCTGTATAGGCCAGCAACTGCACTGAAATCTTACAAGTACTCCCCTTTAGCATAGACTCAAGAAATAGTGTCCCAGTTTCATTTCTCACTAGTTGTTCCTATTTTCACAGTGTGAATAACAAACTTGTTAAAGAGGGAAAGTTGCATTCACATGGAGTTCCTTTAAAAAAAAAGAAATTCTGTCCTGCTTTATAAAAGTGGTGTATAACTTCACTGTAAAGCACCCGGCAGGTGTCATATGCTCAAGGCTGAATTCCAGAATTGTTCTGTTTGTCAAATCATTCACTGGGGAAAAAAATAAAGATTATACAGTTGGGGGAAAAAATCATTGTAATTAACTCTGAGCTGTGGCAAAACTCAGCAGTCACATTTCACATCCATTACAGTGCTGAAAGAGAACTTTCAATCATGCTTACCTAGCTACTGAAGGACTCAGTAAGGCAATGCCATCAAATTTCTGTCTCGTTTC